CTTTAGTGGGTTGATGATATAGACTATACTGCCTTATCTCTAGTCTATCAGACTCGAAAATTGGGGACGGCTAGCACAGGTAACCCTTGTGCAGCTTTGCACGAATATCCGAATACAAACAGTTACCCACCAGTATGCAATAATTTACTTAATCCATACATTGTAGGAGTCTTGTGTCTTATTTAATGCCGTCAAAGGTCTCAATTCAAACAGTTACTTGGTTGTTGTAAGGAAAAAACAACCTACCAAAGTTTCACAATTCTTGGTAATCTATAGAGTGAGTGAATAAGGTGTGTTAGATTGTCCTTGTGTCAGATTACTAGTAACAATAGGTTTATGATATCAAAAAAACACGTAGGTTCAATAATTCTTGATACAAGATGATAAAGACCCTATAACCTCTATAATATTTCTAAAATTAAGCATTTTGAATAAGAAAGGCTTGTAGGAAATAACACGAACTTTGTAAATCATTATTGTAATGAGGATTGATGTTGCTGGTTTCATTGTTGGAAGAATATAGTACCTAAAGGTTTTTTTCTTTTGTTTATTCTTAAATATTATCCTATGAATAAAACATGTATTAGGTGTACACATGATCTTAAAGCTTAGTGTAAAAACTGACACTAATGATTTATTTGTAGAAATGGATTTTGATTTTAAAAAGATGCAATAAACTCGCCACTATGATGTTATTCCAGAATCATGATGCTGTAAGCTCTGAAACGTCATCAATTAGTTTCCAAATAAGGAAGTGGAGAGAGAGCAATAACATTAAACTTCCAAGGGAAAAAGGAATAATTAAAACATACCATTTCATGGTATTAGATAATTTTATTAAGCTTTTGCATTAATGTCACGTGTGCTATATGGATTTTCCTGTTAGTGAATATTATATATTTTCCCATTCGCAGTAGATCATGGTTTTGTTTACAGTAAGAAGATGAGAAATATTATTGTTATTTTTTATCAAGTACAGGAAATTCTAAATAAATAAATATTCTATATATGTTTTCCCCATTTTCTTATGTTTTCCGGTCTAATGTTTTATTTTCGTTCTATAAACCCCCACATTTGTATTTCGTGGTACAGTAATTTAATGTTGGAGGTGATCACCTGTTTATATGATGTAAGATGCGACTTACCTATGCCACAGTCATCTGACTAGTTGTGCAAACTTAAAGTATTAAGTGTTCACTTTTTATGTTTATTGTTAATTTAGAATGTTGTACATGTTCCCCAGTGACTCGGCGATAAGTGAGAGTGCTCATACTGCTAAAATCCGGGTTTCAATACTCGTGGTGAGCACAACACAGAAAACCCATTGTGTAGTTTTGCGCTTAAGAATAAACAAACAAAGTGTTATGCAGAAAGTATTTCAACTGTTTATTTGTATTATTTTCATACTTTAGTTACTGAGCAGAAGCAACTAATTTTATTGTTTCATATTTTCAGAACTAGAAGAAGTAGAAGCTTGTAACTGGCTGAAAGCAGCAGGATTTCCTCAATATTTCCAGCTCTATAAAGGTACGCTATATCATACTAAGCAAAAAAGGTACTGAAATATTTTGAAATAGTCCTAATTATTATCTTACTGTAAGCATATGTTAGAAACTGGACATGTTTTGGATTGTGTATAATACGAACTGCTGAGTAAACAAGGAATATTCACTCGTTATTATGAAAAATAATTTTATTTTACTCAAAATACTTTAAAATATTTTTTTAAATTATAATAAATTATTAAAAAAAAACGTTTTATATTTACACAATAAAAACTTTATTGAAGCCGTACGGCTTCCACTTTAAAATATCTCTCTACAAGTACATGTTTCGACGTGATCTACTTTAAAATGTGTCTGGAAAAAGTGAATTAGGTATATGTGTGTTATTTACGAATGAGGCGACTAATCATAAAACTTAATTAACACTAGCGGCTAGAAATTAGGAGGGGGGGAAAGGGACGTAAAGGAATATTGCGTATAATGCAATTATTCATTGCCCCCATAATCTTCCATAAAGTTGTCACCTCCGGTGGTCTAGCGGTTAGTCTGGGGCTTATAACGTTAAAAATCGGGTTTCAATACCCGCAGTTGGCAGAAAAGAGATGACCAGTTGTGTAGCTTGTGCTTATCAACAAATGAACAAAAAACCCATCGTTGAATGTTTTATTTGCCTTTCCGCTGACTTCTGGATTGTGAATGTAGTTGTCAAGCTATTTACGAAATAAAAAGTCTGTAGACTGATGCAGTAGTCAATGAGTAACAGTAATGAGTCTTCATAGGTCAAACTCGGTATTGTTTGAAGCGTGAACATACATATATATATATAATACATGTGAGTGTGCATATTATCTATATATAGGTTTCAAATCTATAATACCAAAGACGATGTAGCTTTTTAAATCTTGGTACTTGGTACTAGTAAATAATAGTTTTACTGAAAAACATCCATTAACAAGATTTACTTCCGGAATCACGCTGACTGTTTGCACTACTTAGTTTTCTTTATAGGTTGAGTTGACGAACGAAGTTTCAAGCACACTCCTCGATCATTAAAAGTTGTAACATGCCAAAAGGGACAAATAGTTTTTATGTTCTGTTCAATACGAATACCCACAGACTCGCATGTCTTCGAACACAAGGTATTCGTATAGAACAGGACATAAGAACTAATTGTCCTTGTGTTCGAAGACATGCGAGTCTGTGGGTATTCGTATTGAACAGAACATAAGAACTAATTGTCCACAGACTCGCATGTCTTCGAACACAAGGACAATTAGTTCTTATGTCCTGTTCTATACGAATACCCACAGACTCGGATGTCTTCGAACACATGGACAGTTAGTTCTTATGTCCTGTTCTATACGAATACCCACAGACTCGGATGTCTTCGAACACATGGACAGTTAGTTCTTATGTCCTGTTTTATAGGAATACGCACAGACTCGGATGTCTTCGAACACATGGACAGTTAGTTCTTATGTCCTGTTCTATACGAATACGCACAGACTCGGATGTCTTCGAACTCTTTCTTCTTTAATTCAATCCACAAATAAACCACAAATTTATGGGTTGGAGCAAAGCACATATTTTAGTTCTCCACAGTACCACTTGTTCTTTAGTAACTTTTGACTCTCACTCGATAGAATACAACTTTGAATGTGAAATTGCGAATTGGTAAAAGAAAATGCTCCGATCCTGGTGAGGTGTAATTTACCCATGATTTTGTGTTTCAAACATTTCATGATGAATGCTTTTATCATATAAAAATTGTTTTGGAACTACCATTTCCTATATGTCGCTATAAATTCAAAATTTCACATTTCTACCTACTACAATGTTATCTGAACGCAGTGTTAGAAATTCATCACATAATTCTTGCTTCATTTTACTTAATATTCGTCTTTTTTTGTAGCATTGCAGTTTCATAATAACATCATTTAAGTTTTCAATACAATGTACGCTGTATAATAGAACCTAGTTTTCTTTAATATAGTGAATGCAGAGTTATATAACCATTTAACGTGTTAAAAAATCAACTTAACCTGAAAATCGCAGATGCATGATGTTTTGAGCTATATAACATTTACATATATTGTTTTTACATTATTTGTATTTTTCTACTCCATCTATTTTAAATAATGGAACCTTTTTGTTGTTTTTACCGATATAAACCACCTATTTTATCCTTTAACCTGTTCTTATATTCTCTAATCTTCGTTGTCCTAGAAAAGACTAATAATAAACTAATGCACTAAATTATGGCCTTATAGAAGCCCATAATTAGTGATAATATGTAATGGTTAGTTAAACCGAGAGATGTTCCGAAATATCAATTGATGTTTATTGTGCAGGTTGCAACATCTGGTTCTACGTAGGTTAATTAACTACCTTATGTAACTTGATTCTGACATATCAACTTATAATGCACTCAGATGCATACCGTGGAAAACCAAATTACCTCAAATAACGTTGTTGGAAGTTTACCAAAGTATATTTATATATTTTCAGTATATTTGAAAACAATTCGGTAAATTTATAACATGAGCCAAAAGCGATATTAACAAAAACGTATGAAATCACTTTTGGACTTTTTGCTATAAAATACAATAGGTATAAAGGTTGGCAAGCCCTGATGAAAACTGATCTATGCCCTTTGTACAGAACGCATTTGTGTATAGCTTGAAAAACATAAATCAATCGAAGTCAAGTAATTGGATCAATTTAAAATGGGCAAGCATTTTTTTCTTCTTCTTTGGCCATCAGTAGTTGTTGAAGAAACCCTCATCAAATATGTAAATGTTCGTTTAATAATGAATAAAACGAACGTGGATCAGGTAAAATGGTGATGGGTAAGATTATATTGAGCATATTATATTGAGCATGTGGTATTTAAGAAGAATTTCCAGTAATTGGATTATATGTTAAATGAGTTTTATTTTGGTTTGATTATACATGCTAAATCAAAATATATAAGACTATATATATATATATAGAACATGTATACCATAATTGTATTTCTGACAGCAATCTCTATTCAGATAAATAACGCTGTGTAAACACAAGCGTTAATGAGAGTGTAATACGTTATTGGAGTTGCTGCTGTGTTCCTGTACTGATTAAAAAGTATTTGATACTTTAAATCTGAACAACATCTTATGCAACAAATGGATTGAACGGCAAAATCAGAAACCCCGATAGTTCGGGCATATTCGTCACTAGTTTAGCACTGTTGACCAGACAGACGCCAACAGCCAGCAGCACCCTCTGTCTACCCAACTATTTGTAACGACATTGGGGAATTGAGTGTCACTTTTATAATACGCCCAAGCTGAACAGCCCGGCATGGCCAGGTGGCTAGGACGCTTGATTCGTAATCTCAGGTTCACGGGTTCGAATTCCCGTCCCACCAAACATGCTTGCCCTTTCAGCCGTGGGGGCGTTATTATGTGACTGTTAATCCCACTATTCGTTGGTAAAAGAGTAGCCCAAGAGTTGCGGTGGGTGGTGATAACTAGCTGCCTTCCTTCTTGTCTTTCACTGCTAAATTAAGGACGGATAGCGCAGATAGCCCTCGTGTAGTCTTGCGCGAACTTCCAAACAAACCAAACCCAAGCTGAAAGTGCAGAGCATTTTCAGAAGCATGTTACAGACTTGAACCTTGGATCTTTCGATCCGAAGCAATGCATGTTAACCACTAGGCCTCTTTTTGAAGTCACATTGTAATATTTTTTTATTGCTTGTAAGTAACCACTTGAGATAGTATAGTTATTTATAGATATTAGCTCAATAGTTAGTTAATGCATGTATTTTCAGGTAATAAATAACGATAAATTTAAATTGCTTATTTGTAAAAAAAAAAAAAATAACAAAAATGTGCCGTTACACAGTTTTATTTTCCATCGTTTTAAATTTACGTCATTTGTACGTTATTTTCAGCAGTTGTCTCGGTAAGATCCCCTTTAACTATCTCCTGATACAAGTGTGTTTAGAGGAATAGTCGAACAGTTATGTTTTGGCTTAGTGTGGTTAGTGGTTATTATGCCGAGCTAGGGAACGAAAGGTTTGGGGTTCGGATCGTGTTTCTAACAAACATACTTTACATTTTCTGCTGTGGGTGGTGCGTTATTCGGTTTAAAGAGATAGACGACATCCTTGTTGCGCTGGGTACTACTTATTAGCTGTAGTTCAAAATTTACACTTTAGGGATTTCATACCTAGCCGTTTCCTCCACGTGTCTCATAAATTGTCGTTTAAAATGAAAATTCTAATTTCAATAATTCTATTTGCATCACAAGTTGTACAAAAATTGATGTGCTGAGAAATGAAGCCATTTTTTTCTATCTCAGAAGTTTCTAGAAGATATTTTCTATATATATATATATATATATATATACCTGAACAATCCTACAATTTTAATTCACTGTTGCAAACCTCTATTTTGGCTGCCAAAATATGGATTTGCAACTTCACAGGGATTTCTGTAAGCAGTAATTTTTATTAGTTCCATTACTTATTATAGATTTACACACTAGCTGATATGATGATTTGTTAATCAACACCTTGTTTCTTTACTTTTTATAGCTATGACCTCCGATCCCTATTACACTTTTTTTACATATTATATAATGCATAGCAATGGGCAAATATATGCATAGACTAAGACACAATCCCAACTAAGCACGTATAAAATTTTACCAGTGGGAAAGCAGCCTTTTTATATAAAACATATACGTCTAAACCATAGCTTTAAATAAACCTGCCCCCCCCCCAGTGGCACAGCGGCATGTTTGCGGACTTACAACGCTAGAAACCGGGTTTCGATACCCGTGGTGGGCAGAACAGAGATTGCCCATTGTGTAGCTTTGTGCTTAACTTCAAACAAACAATAAATATACCTTCGTGTCTTTTAAAGTAGTCCCCCGGTGGGAAAGCAGTAAGTCTTCGGATTTACTATGCTAAAATCATGGGTTCGATTTCCCCTTGGTGGACACAGCAGATAGCCTATAGTATGGCTTTGCTATAAGAAAACATACACACATTTTTAAAGTAATTATTCTACGAATGTGTTTAATAAAATTTAATATTATGTGTGTATTGAATTTTTACTCCTTCACTTCATACATAATATAAAGGTTGGCTCCCTAAAGACACTGATTGTATAGTGTACAAAGCACTGAGTATCTAGATATTACAATTATCTAATGTTCATCTATCATTGGTAATTCATGTATCACCATGTCCTAAAGCTTTTTAAAGGAATACCAGGTATTTGTAAGAAAGATAATTTTTCAAGGGGTAATGATGACATAGTTTAAACAAGAATTATGATATTTTTTAGCTTATGTAAAATATAGAAGAAACAAATACACTTTTCAATACCCCTACAACTTTTGCAGTACCTTATTTAGTATTATACAAAAGGTTTGGGTGCAATATATCAAGCCGTCTTTGTTGTAGGCTGGCAAAAGAAAGAATAACAATAATATGAACAATTGAGCAGTTTTTGGTGGATTTTAGATTATTTTTTCACAATTGTTGAAACGTCATTAGTATTGTACAGGAAGATTTTGAGTGCTGTTGTAGGAACGAGTTTGCTCTCTAAGGTGGTTTTCGCCGTGCGTTCTATTAGTGTTTCGTCAAAACCTGGTCTGTTCATTTTATGAACCACTATGATGAACATGATGCTGTGTTCAACTTCTACATTATTTATGCTGTGTTAAATGACTTAAGAATTCAGTTACCATATTTCAAATCCTGTGTTTGAAATGACATAAATATTCAATTACTACACTTCAAATACTGAGTGAAAAGGACATAAATGTTCAACTACCACTATATTTATGCTGTGTTAAATGATATAAATATACAGCTACAAATTATTTAATCTGTGTGAAAAGAACATAAATATTCAACTACCACTATATTTATGCTGTGTTAAATGATATAAATATACAGCTACCAAATTATTTAATCTGTGTGAAAAGAACATAAATATTCAACTACCACTATATTTATGCTGTGTTAAATTATATAAATATACAGCTACCAAATTATTTAATCTGTGTGAAATGACAAAAATATACAGCTACCACTATATTTATGCTGTGTTAAATTATATAAATATACAGCTACCAAATTATTTAATCTGTGTGAAATGACAAAAATATACAGCTACCAAATTATTTAATCTGTGTGAAATGACAAAAATACAGCTACCAAATTATTTAATCTGTGTGAAATGACATAAATATACAGTTACCAAATTATTTAATCAGCGTGAAATTATATAAATATACAGCTACCAAATTATTTAATCTGTGTGAAATGACATGAATATACAGCTACCAAATTATTTAATCTGTGTGAAATGACATAAATATACAGCTACCAAATTATTTAATCTGTGTGAAAGGACTTAAATACTCAGATACCACATTATTTATATGGTGTGACATTACAGAAACGTCCTACTAGCTGAATCACGTTCGTGATAACTTGTAAAAGAAAAGCATCTAACATAACTTGTATATATATATTACTAAATAATACTTAATTAATATTTCCTGTATTTCAGCTATTTTGGTCTTAATTGTGAGAGATGATTGTAGTAAATTTCCGTAATATCTGAATGTCGATTTTCCTCAGTTTTGAGTCATTCTGAAAGTTGCTTTCTAAATACTTTCGCAATCTAATAACTACGTTTAGATAATGATGTATGTAATGCCACGTGCTGCTGTTTCTGTTGACGGTCCTCTTGTTACTGCTGGCGCGCTCCTAGAGTGCTTCTGTTAAACTTCACCATAGGATATCTTTTGTTTATTCCTCCACTCGTAACAATGTCTCTGAGCTACGTGACGGCAGCACATTGTTGATGCTATTCTAAGACGACTCATGTTATTGGTTGCTTAGGCAACCTGCGGAGATGAAAGTGCGGAGGTAGATTTCATGTAAAGACGTGCCGCTATCGACATATAAAAGATGAAAGCGGGGTCCATGGTTCATAGTATAATCGATGTCTTCTGTAAATAAAACGTAACAACTTAGAGCATGATTAGCTTTTGATAAACCATAATGGAATTTGTGTTTACTTTGGGTAAGTCTGGTTTTTAAGTGATTATTTATTTCAGTACGGTTCATGAAAGAAACAAGCATTGTTCAAACTCAATAAAGAAAAAAAAATGGACAAGGGAAGAAGCACTATATTGTTAGTTTTTAGCGCAATAGTAACTAGTTTACTTAGTGTTCATTGTTTTAAATATAAGCATTTTTTTTCTATTAATTTGTTATCTTAATCATATGGGCGTTAGCTATTGCAATTCGAATTCTTAGATTTTCTATTTGTGAGAGGCAATATATCAAATATTGTAAATACCCAGTAGTTAGCTTTAAATATTCCATTAACTATTTTATGTTATGTTGAGCGCCAAGAACTGTTGATGATAAAGTTATAAGCCCTGATGTATTGATGGCGTTACAAGGTCTTTTTCTGTTATTAGCTAAGCCTCGAGTTATATTCGAGATGGATTACAATATGTTAATACGTATATTACAAGTTATGGCAATGTCGGGCAAGGAGTTAGTTTTCAGTGGTTTTTTTTTAGGTCCACAGCGAAATATTCATTTAAGCATGAACATTATTGCAAGAGTTTTAACTGAAGTTATCAGCGAAATTACTCGCAACGATTAGCCATTGGAATAAAATAGTATAGAATTGATACTTAATTCTTCAATAAACAGTCAATAAGTCTGTTACACTGCCACCAGGGGCGTATCAACTGATGCTGTAGACTCCGCGGTGCGGGGGACGTGGTACGCTAAATAGGGGCCTATAGCGTTACAATAAATCAGATATGAAGGGGGCCCGATGTGAAAATTCGCAGGGAAGGCACACATTCTTCGCTATTCCTATGACTGCCACTATCTCTAAAATAGATGTTAATGAAACAAGTAACCCCCTTTTAAATATTTTCAAGGTTTTAAGCCTTGGAATATGTTTTTTTTATGAGATTCGTACACTTATATTGACATAGAAATCAATTAGTAATGAAGTCCTACGGCCGTAAGACAAAATACTGTTTGTAAATGTGAACACGTTATTGGCTTGTGCTTAAAAGACGAATTCTATCAATTAAACACCTGAATGTTTTCAGTTGTTTATATTGAGCCGTTTTCTTTTACGTTTATGTTAATTTAAGCCAGCTTATCAACTTGAAAAAAAAAAAAACACAAATTTTTATTATATATATATTGTGACATAATTACCATTTTTATTTGTATATAAAATGCAACCTGTTTATAAATAAAGTAACATAAGTTTCTTGAAATAGATGGTCTGTTTCCCATTGATATTAGTAGCGTTCAAGAAGATCACAAATTTCTTGATCCTGACTCAATTCAAGCATTGTTCAGGTAAGGCAAATTATTGTTACACGATTTAGTTTATAACAATTAAGTGTAAATACAATCAAGTTTAATGGACTAAAATATCGCCTTTCTTTGACTGAAGTTTTATGCAAGGAATGTTAAACATTACCTAACTAAAAATACTTAGTTTACTGAAACATTTTCTGCACCCTGTAACGTGTGTATGTTACATTTAATCCACATACCTTACCTGTCATCTGGTTTGAAGGTGTTTTTTTATAGGTCGAAATATATATCGGCACATATACCAAAGTCAAACACTTGTGGGCCGTGAATGTCCCAGTGGTAAGTATGCGGGGCTGTGGATCCTAGATTCAGTGCAAAAAGATATATATATATATGTCTATGTATATAAATCGCACTCTACACTTTGTTGCTGTGGGTGCGTTACAGGAGTGACAGTTAAGTCCCAAGAATTAGCGCTGGGTGGTGTTGACTAATTAACTTCCGTCTTGTCTATAACTTCAAAATTATTGATGGCTAACGCAGATAGCGCTTTCTAGTAGTAGTGTGAAATACACAATACCGTGTGTGCTAGTTACTTAACTGACAGCGACAGTGACGAAACTAGTTTCCTAGTCTGTGCGTCGATGTTTTGTTCCAAAACTATGTTTTTTTGTCGTTAGTTTACTCTCGAGTAGTTTTCGCGAAATTCAACAAATTACAACAAACACTTGCATTACAGCTTTAACTAAAGGGGCACTCAGTAGAGCGCATACCACAACGGTCACGGACCATTTTTGACAGGACAATGAGGAATAATATTCCACATGTCTGCCAAGTTTCATTAAAATCCGATCATTTTTGACTGAGTTATAGAGCAAAAATTAGTCCCCGTGTTAACAGATAGGGATTTTTTTTATTTTTGTGACCTTGACCTTTGACCTTGACCATACAAAAATTAATTACTTCTAAGTTGGGGGTTCATAGACGAAATATATACCAACTTTCGTCCAAATCCATTTAGCCGTTTTCGAGAAGTCCTGGTGTCAACAACACACACAACAGGGCTCAAAACATAACCTCCGTCATCTCTGGTGGCGGAGGTAATAATTATCTCTCGTCCATTCAGTAAATATGATACCAATATCTGTTATAACTAAACCAAGCTACTTGTTATTGTTGTTCCTATTATTCAGCTTATAAATTTTGTTTTGTGATGCTCTCATAAAACTGCCTTTTTAAAAAAAATCAGGTTCTGCATATCAAAAATGGAACGAAATTGATTCGAAATAAAACATGTACCCTGCACGTGTATTTATAATAAAATTTTGCAAAAAATGATTTTGAGATATAAAATATGTTTTGTAGGGCATATTTTGGTAATGCTTATATCATAAAAGAACCTGTAACAATTCCCAAACTCTGTGAATTGAGAGCTTTGACTAATTTTCATTTTTATTTGTTGAGTGGTTAATAACATCCATAAAGTTTAGCCAGCGTACGTAAGAACTAAATGACAGATACAAAAGACATTATATTTAAATAAGTTGAGTCTTGTCGTATGTGATTTTGTGATAGAACAATGTTTGAGATATTGGTAAAGACAACGAGCTTGAAACTTTGATATCTTTGTTATGCCAGAGGAACTTGAAACTATATCACTGATATAGGACCAAAATTACTACAATAGTTTGAAAACTCGTGACTTTTTTGGACAATGAGTTTGTGTGACAGTAGTTAACAAGCACACTATACTAGCCTTATGTAGTGTTGTTCAAGAGGCATAAAGCCAAGGTCAGCACGTGAGCCATTTAGTGTTTTTCTGTAGATTACCAAAATGAAAACATTTGCAAACAAAGAATTTTGGTTTTATAACAGGTCAACCAGAAGAACCTGCTTAATAATAATAATAATTGGTGATATAATTCTAGTTTGACAGAGATAACATTATTTTGACGTTTGGCAAAATGCGTGAAAAATTGAAATGTTCATGAACCTTTTTTTTTCTCCTTTAGACGACTTAATACGCTCAACAAGTGTGCAAAAACAAAGGTCGAAAACTTGCCACGAAAATCCGTAAGTTTTGGCGTGATAAATAACTATAGTTTTCGTACCATATATCTATAAACTCTCAAAATGTAAAAAAGAAAACAAATTAAGTGAGCATAACCTTTAATTTTTGGACGATATTGTATTTTTATACTCTAAGGACATCTTTGAATAATTTGGAAATTTTTGAATTTCATGAGGTAAATAACTCATTTTGAGTTATTTCGTGTTTCTAAGACATAGAAGCTCTTGCAATGAATTGCTAGGTAATTATAGAAACGTAATAATATAACTCACGTTCTATGGTAGTTTATTTTTTATACTATGATAAATGATGATTCAATGCATTCTAATCGCTATATGTTTGTTATCTTGTATATTGATTATTAGGGCATTATTTACTTCTTGTCAAGTATTGTTTTTGAAATTGGCATCACTAACTTGTAAGTTACGTTTTTAGGTCTTATTTATATAGTTAGCTTATTTTTGATCGGAATATATTAATACTTATCGTTTTCAACTTTTTTTTGGTATTTAAGTTATAACAAAACTTGAATGCTATATTTAATCTTTGAACGGGTGTTGTATATCGATAGTAAAACATACATTATAGAAAGGTTTACAGATACTGCTATATCTTATATTTTATAGACAGCAAGAGTTTCGAAAATCACAATATAATTTACTTCATTTTACTGACGCCTTGTTCAGATAATCTGAAACTGATCTAAAAATCTAAACCAAAATATTGTTTTACTGCAATAACAATTCTGATCAGGATTTATTTTATCGTAATATTTGTAACCGTGATCATGTGCTGAATTCTGCCACTCTGGCAGAAACGTAACATATTATATTTCTATGTAATTAAAGTTTTCTCCCATAATTATATTACTTAGTTTTACAGTAATTTAAGACCTTTTTTTAGATTCAGTCTCCGGAGGAAAGTGATGAAGAACAGTATGCACTTAGTGAAAACTGGCAATTTCAACGTATTAATCATAGATGGTCTCGAATTTCTTCATCTTTTGAAGTTGATACTACCAATCAACATCTGAAAACTTCATCTCCAACAGGGGATTATCTCCCTGACAACCAGTTTACAAGCAGTCATGATAGTGTATTTGTCGATGATCATCAGGGTAGTTTATGCAGTCTATCAAAAGTATCTTTTGACGACTCTGTAGAGCAGTTGAGTAGCAGTCATTTATCTGTCCCAAAGGATGAGGACAATATTACTTCTGGGCCTGGAGAATCAACTAGTTTTGGTTCTGAAAAGTCATCAGATTTTTCAGAAAATGGCATTGAAAGTTTTCGTCGTAGTGGGAGTGAAAGGTTTAAAGACAGTGCAAAGGCTTTATTGCGAAGGATTGAAAGCCTTAAAGGAAAGCACAAGAAGAATAGTCACGAGTCTGTAGTTATTATGAAACAAAATATCTATAGCGAGACAGCTAGTGATTCATCACCAGGTAGTGAAGGAGATAGAAGTTCAGCTAGTAGTTTGACATCTTCTCCACAATTATCGTATCACAAACTTTCTGTTGAAAGAAATGATTCCGATGATAGTCAACACAACACATGTTATTCTAAACACAAGAAAAAATGCCACATTGCTCGGGAGACGGATTTTCGTGCTTTTAGTGATTCTGAGTCCTCATCACCCAAGTTAGCTCGTTCCTGGAAATATGCGGACAGTAATATTTCAAAAGATGGTGAAAATGAACATTCCACTGAGTCTAATAGTAAATCTAAAAGCACATTCCGTGTAGCAGATGTCAACAGGAAAAAGGGGAGAAGCAAACACAATAATGAGAATAGAAATACTAGCAAAAGCTACTATGAAGTCGAATATGAAGCTCATCTGAACAAAAATAGTTCAGCCAAACCAGTGAAGTGGTTCTCAACTGATAGTTCCCAGGATAAAAGAGACAAAGAACAAACTACACCAGTCAATACCATGCCTACTCCAACCATTGTTTTCAGTCGAACCTCTTCAGTTGAACAAGCAACTAACAAGTTGAACAGAATATACACAGGTATAGTTTTACTGTGGTACTACCGTTTATAGCTAAATTTATATAAAAAAAACTCCAATTCCTTTCATTTCGCTGTTGATTTGCTAGAGAGTAGATAAGGAAAACTGGAAACTTAACAATCACACAAGGAGCAGTTTCTAGTTTAAGTTCAATTCAACCTTATTTGTTAGTTCAAGTGAAAGTACATTCAGTCCTCTCGCCCATTCATCCTTTCCTTTTGGGGAAATATACCATAACATGAGAAGTGTAAAATCTATAGCTATTTGCCTCTAAATTGGAAAAATAAATTTATTCTACGCAATTCTTAAGAAAATTTACCTTTAGCATTATAAAATATTTTCTCTCTGATTGTCTTGTGGAGTTTTCGTTATAATTAAACTGAAATCTACTCATAAGGTTGCAGATATTATGATGTATAGGTAGTTTTAAAATTAAAAAATGTAGTTATGAAAATGGATCGAAATTATGTAATTTTATACGTCTGATTTATGGAAAAATGTTGAGTCTAATCTGGTTTAAGTTTAAAATAAAATAAATGACGTATATTAATATAAGTAAAATAAAAACATTACATAGAAAACAATGTGTTTACATAGTGGCAGCATATACAAGTGTATATGGGAAATGCATAAAGTTGTTTGCGCAAATTGTTTTGGATATTGTATTATGTTACCTTATTACAATATATGAACATGATTGACAATTCTTTGTTTTTAATAAATTGAAGTAAGCTATTCATAATAGAAAACATCGATAATTAATAGTTTTCAAATTAATCTGTAAAGAGAATTTGCTAACAACGATATATCAAAGTTTAGTTATGGCAGACGTGTGCATAAGTTAAAGAGTAAACATAAAGTCAACGTTTTTAAAAAAAATTATTATGCATTAGAAACGTTGTTTTTGTTTTCCTTTAAGAACAGCATGTTTCGCAGATATCTACAAAAAAAACAACAACAACAAACCTTTCTGTCATGTAGGTCAAACAAATGATGAGCATGAGTCCCAGGAACCTAATTGTGTGTTTCACGCATCTTTTCTATCTGATGATATCAGTTTACATGAGGAAGTTGAAAAACCAACAAGAGAAAGAAGAGACTCTGGTGTTGGTTCTTCTTTGACTAGAAGCTCCCTGTTTGTTCGGTAGGCTAATTTATTTCGTTTATAGAAATGTTTTATTTTAAGACAGAAGAGAAAAATCTGTTTATTGTTGTTTTGTACACTTTTCTCTGTTTTATACTTCATTGAACTTTGAGGCATTATCTGTACAGCATCTATATATAAAAAAGCTACTCACTGTTCGTAACGCCCCCTTTGTAGGTAACGCTCGTCTCTCTGTCGGTAATTTTCAAATTGGCTCAGTGGTTTGTCTCAGGGGGAAAGCCTCGCATTCAAATTCCAGTCGAGATTTTGTGTTAAATTTTTATATCTATTTTTTAAAATATTTATTATAATATTATCCTTTGAATATTCGGAAAAATATGAGTACCAGTATAGACTAAATCGGGGATCGTATCATATTACATTTAAACATCAGTGTCTGTTCGGGTCAAACACAACTTAAATATCTTCTCAGCCCAATAGATGGCGCTACAATATATTTTCAATGATATCACAGGTAAGTAATTTTTATAAATTTAGTCAAAATTTTGACAAGCATTTTTTATGAAAAGTTATACCTTTGTGCATTTGTACAATTAATAAATCGCAAGGTCAGGCATTTGACCATGCGGGAATATTTCTTCGATCGATGGTTCAATATACAAGGTTTTATCAAAAATATACACAACTCAAAATTCTAATCAAGGACCACTTACAGGAGATGACCAAATATACACAAAATATGTAAAATGATATACATTCTTTATACATATACTATTAGTATAATACAATTGACTTTTATAAAAAAAATTCATAAAACATTTATTTAGATTTAATTTTGAGAAGAAATATTTATCAGAATTTACCGTTATATGACGGGCATTCAGCTAGTTTTATCATAAATGGTCAGTATTTATTTCTATATTGTAATGAACTTTTATTGTTCCTGAAACATGTAGATTTATTTATAACAATTTCAGTGTTTTCATCGAAATAGTTTTATAAATAGATTTTAATGTAATTTTAGTCAACTGCGGTTTAAGGTTTACTTTTCCCCCATTTCAATTTATTGAAGGTTACCTACATTCCATGAAACCAGTTTTATGCATCCTGAAAAGAAAAAAAAAGAAAATTACTCTCTCTAAAGACTGAAGTTGTCATTGTATCACACACATAAATATAAATATTTAGGCTACCATCTTATTTTGTAAAAGCCAAAAACAATGATATTTGACTCTAGTACTTTTTCAGAAGTTGATATTTGGCCATTAAAGTTAAAGCTATTTCAAAACCCTCGCAAATTTAAATTGGTTGGTGCTAATCTTTGATCTTAAACGACTTAAAACCATCGTTCTCTCATAAAAATTCTACACATTAAGTGTTTGGTTTACTTTAATTTTAAGTGTATGCTTATTACTACGTTTGTATACAATAGATAGTGAAAGATTTAACTATTAACATTTTTATAATATAAAACTTGGTTTTCAAAAATATAGGTGCTTTTAATCTATTTCTATACTACGCTTATGGTGTTTCGAGTAAGGTAATACATTAAATATAACGTTTTGATGATCTAACGTTTTCACACATAACGATGATTATAGGAGTAACAATTTATTTTTGTTATATATATCAATAAAAGCAGCCCAGAGTCTCAAATTCGGTGGCATTGGTTCCTGTCCGTTCGACGCCAGAGTTCAGTTAATATTCGAACCGTGACGTCACATGGCCTTCACATTAGCAGTTTGTCAGCGTGTCAGCTAATGAAGTTGAGAAAGCTATCTCTTCTGAAGTTAACGTCACTTATGGAAAAGTATAACCCAACTAGCCGAACTGGCTGGAACTGGGGAGTTCCGAATTTCATACGCAAAATACGAACCCCTGATTATAAAGGTATATTTTATTAGTTACATACAAAAATGACTACTTTAAGGCTAAAATATTATTTAAAAAAATGGACTGATTTTCTCTTGCAACATATTATCTCAGAAGGCAAGGAAACTTATTGTGGACTAGTAAGTTGATCGTGCAGAAGAGGAGGTACATGTATTTTTAAACAGACTCTAAAAATATTTACAGAACTTGACCCCATACTTTGTTTTGTTAGCTTATACCAGTATAATGGCAAATAGCCACAAATACGAGAATTGATAAACAGATATTTAAAGCTTGCTAAATTATCTCGATAAACGGAAAATACACCATGTTCTTACTATTTGGTGTGTTCCTCGGTGGGACAGTGGTAAGTCTACTGATTTATAAAGCTAAAATCAGGAGTTCGATTCCCGTCCGTGGATACAGCAGATAGTCCAATGTTTCTTTGCTATAAGAGAAACACACGCATACATATTACGTGATGCCATAGAAAAAGGTATATTAGTAAGCATTGAGGATGTTTGCAAATAAGGTATCTCATGGCACCATTCTAATGAAAACTTGTCATTTTGCATAACGTAAGTATTACCGCATTGTTAGAATGTAACTAAAAATATCAATAAAAGTATTTTTTTGTCATATTTCCGTAGTTTACTGAAATCAATTGCAGAAGCAAATATAGATTTTGGGTTTGTTTTTAAAAGAAATATTTATATATTGTATTATCGTATTCCTTAAGTTTTGGTCAACTTCACCACCGATCCTGCAAATATTAACTGCTAGTAGCTTAAATTTATTACTACTTTTAGTCTACTACTAATAGCACGGACGGGGTCCTTGTGTTCCATACTGGCTAAGCATCTGTCCCTAATAGCAGCAAATATTAACTGCTAGTAGCTAAAATTTATTACTACTTTTAGTCTACTACTAATAGCACAGCAGTTAATATTTGCTGCTATTAGGGACAGATGCTTAGCCGTATGGAACACAAGGACCCCGTCCAATAGCTGAAATTTATTACTACTTTTAGTCTACTACTAACAGCACGGACGGGGTCCTTGTGTTCCATACGGGCTAAGCATCTGTCCCTAAAAGCAGATAGAGCGGTAGGTGATGAGGCTTGATGATTTTAACACTATGATTTTTTTATATAATAAAAAGAACAAACACAGGCTAGGCAGTGTACTATTTACTCCCTTATCACCACGGCGAATCTGCGACAAGTCGTACCCCAGCCTTAGTAAGTGTCTTGTATCAGGCAACAATATACGAACAAACAGAAAGGCAACAGTACACAACATAATCAAGAAGGTCCGGAAATATGGCCAACAAGATATGGGTTCACTAAGATAAGGCTTCCAGTAATACTTCCAATTCAGCTGTCGCGTACGTTAAGCAGCTAGAAATTGGTATTCATGTTATTCCATACGAAGACATACCAGTAAGGTCGTTGGCGCAGCGTCTATGGACTGCGCCGACGTGGTAAGGTCCCCAAATGGTTGTAAATACAACGTACTCAACCGTTGTAGTATCTGTCTGTTAAGCGATTGATAGTTTTCGAACTTTCCTGTAATCTAATTGTAAATATAAATAAAAATGGCAACTTGTTATGAAAATAGAAGAAACATATAAAAAAACCATTGTTACTTTTTGGCCGGTGCTTTTTATGTAATCTTGGTACATTTGACATGGCGTTAGTAAAGCGTAGAAAGTTTACATGATACTACACAATACACAGCGTTATTTTCATACTAGATGGGGTGCGAGCAAGTCACACAGAATAACGTCAGGAACTCTCATGAACTCTTGTGATATTCCTCACGCTTTTTCGATGCGCAACCTTTGTTAGATGATGCTACGATTAATAAACAGACCGTACGGCTGTTGTTACTGCTATCAAGATTTGTTTGTTTTGGAATTTCGCGCAAATCCACACGAGGGCTATCTGCGCTAGCCGTCCCTAATTTAGCAGTGTAAGACTAGAAGGAAGGCTACTATTCTTCACCACCCACCGCCAACTCTTGGGCTACTCTTTTACCAACGAATAGTGGGATTGACCATCATATTATAACGCACCCACGGCTGAAAGGGCGAGCATGTTTGGTGTGACGGGGATTCGAACCCGCGACCCTCAGATTGCGAGTCGAATGCCCTAACCACCTGGCCATGCCAAGCCTTGCTATTAAGAGACTAACATTATTACTAAAATTTCTAATAGCAGAAGGCAATAACAACCGAAACGGATGGCTTTACTACTCTCCTCTTACTGTACATTAAACATTGCAAGTTTATATTTCTTATGATTATGCATAAGATATTGGCAGAAACGTTCATAATAATAATAATAAGTGGATAATGATCTATGAAGGCTTGTTGAGTGTATCCAAAAACTTATATTCATCTTGCACATTGTTGTGTTTCAGATAAGGTTGTGTTTGGGGTGCCATTATTTATGATTCTTCAAAGGACAGGCCAACCTCTACCCCCTTCTATTCAGGTGGCTATTCGTTACCTCAGGAAGACAGCTGTAAATGCCATTGGTCTTTTTCGAAAATCTGGAGTACGATCTCGAATTCAGAAGTTGAGAAATTTGAATGACTCTAATCCAGGAAACATGAGCTACGAAAACCAACAAGCTTACGATGTTGCGGACATGTTGAAACAATACTTCCGAGAACTTCCAGATGCTTTATTGACTAATAAACTCTCAGAAACGTTCATCAGTATTTTCCAGTGTTAGTATTATTGATTATGAGTTCATGTTTTCATGTTTATTATATATATTTTAAAGAAAGTTTTATTCACGCCATAATCAGTAACTATTTAATATTATCGCCTTATAGTCTTATATAAATACTTTTTTCATTATATCAAAATTTTAAAGAACCGTTTATTTTCACTTTTGTTTGGAACAACCTAAATTACTTTCAGTGCACTTTGGCTTTGTCATCTTACATTCATATAACAAGGTTTACCCTTCTTCAGTTTTTGAACACAAAATGGTTTCTTCACAGACATACCAATAGAGAATCATAAAGAAGCAATTCAAGCAGCCATTCTTCTAATGCCTGATGAAAATCGCGAGGTGTTGCAGTCGTTGCTTGCATTCCTTCAAGAAATTTCACAGTGTTCTGATGAAAACCAGGTACATTTTTTTTTCAATGTTAGACGGAATATATTTTGTTCATGTAAAATCTGTAAATTTTTCTTTGAAATATAGTTGTGATAAATCATATAAACACAAAATAATGAGTTTAGTTAGCTTTACGTTTCTTTTAAGAATGATTTTAATTGATCAGTAATAGAAATTAGCATTTTGGTAAGTTAAGTATCGGTATTGCCTAGAATAATGTTTCAGTAATTTAAATATAAATCCATATAATTCCGCCAAGGATTTTTTTTTTTTACTCGAGAATGACTTAAGGTGTTTCAAAAAGCATTTGGTAAATTATAAGTTAGGAATGACCAGGTCATCAGAAACCTATATCTTAAAGTTAATCAAGTTTCTTAAATATTTCATTTGTTGATATAAATTATCTAAATTTGCAGATGACAGCAACAAATCTAGCCGTATGTTTTGCACCATCTCTGTTTCACCTCAATACACCTAGAAGCTCCAGTGCCAGCCCGAGGCGAAGGAAAACTTCAGGTATTCCAGACCAGCGAGAGTTGAATGAGAATCGTGCTGCACACGAATGCATAACCTATATGATCAACAACTACAAGCAGCTGTTTTCGGTATGAATAAAAATCTAATAATTTTAATCTTCAATGTCCGTATATTGGTGTGAACTTTTTTTTATTAGTATTAATTGCAATAATAATAAGTGACATATATAATGCATGGTAATTCATTTGAAAGTAATTAGGCATTTAGAAATTTTACAACATTAGGAGGCTTAACACAATTTTACATACTGTAATGGTATAAGTATTGGAAGACTTTAAAGTTAGTCCAACTGGTCATGTTGTCACAGTTGGGAATCAGTAAACTTTTAGTTCAGTTTAAATAAAGGCTAGTTTCTGTATCATTAAAACATTAACAATTTCTTATTCACATGAACACAGGAGATTGGTTAAAGGAAGTTTGTATTTTTCTTTTCGATTTTTGTTACCATAAAAAATAAAACATTTTTAACAAAGACTATATCAAATTACATTAGGATAAATCGCATAAAAAATATGCTTTACACTTACAAACTTATTCAAAATTAAACTTATCGGTTTGAAGATAGAAGAGGACAACTTAAAACTAGCAAATGCTGAACACTGGGAACCTCCAACCTTGGAAGAACTTGGAAATCTGACTAATTCAAGAAATTACAACTGGAAAACACATGTTGAGTTACACTTTCAAGGGTTACAGAAGGTAATTTTTTAGGTCTTGAATGTTTTAAGTTCTATGAAGGAAGTTAATGTAGTACAATTACACAATACTTAAGATTTTCTGTTTATAATTTATCATACACAATTGTCAGTTAACATCATTTACATCAAGAATATGATCGTAATTATATTATTCAAAATGTTTTCATATAAATGCATTTTAAACTTATTTAGTTAAGGAAGTTATTTACATTTATATCACCTTATATTTCAACCCTTTGTGTTTGACAACACTCGTTAATCAATGGTTTGAGTTTTTGAAGGATTTATTTATTACTTTATTAATTAATCATTGGTTGAATTTTGGATGACACTTCCATTTAAAGCAGTTTTTATTTATAATATTGTAATATGTTTTACAGGAAGCACGTGACAGGTTCAAGGGTTGGTTGCTAGTCCCTCACAATGATAATATTGAAGTTTCCTACAAAAAGATGGATGATGGCTATCCACTAAGGCTCTGGAAAGTGTCAGTGGACGTTGAAGCCCCTCCTTTGGAAGTATTGAACAGGGTATTGAGAGAAAGGTAACAACTCATGGAGCCTTGTATATATATATATATATATAGGTGTTAATGAGTATTCAGGAATATGACTACTGTTAGAAAACATAAAAACATGAGTAAAACTTTTTTCGATGTAATGTCTAAAACCAAGCTGCAATAATTATCCAATTTTGTCTTTGAAGAAAACAATAAAATCATGATTAGCCAATAGAAATCCATTCAATTTCAAGATATTGTGTGTTGTTCAGAAATGTTTGCTGATGTAGACAATAATTGACTGTTGTTTATATAACTTATCTTTTGTTTTCATTAGTTACACTATGATAAAATCCAAACCATTTTGTAAATTTATTTGATATATTTATTTTATATGTAAATGCAATAAGTGAGTGATACCAGTTAATTTTCAGAAAGATATTTTCTTCTGTATTTTTACTGAAATCACGTATTAAATTATTTGTGCTTCAGTGAGATTGAATACTCTTAAATAAAAATTCCACAACAACAAGAATGAAAGGAAAGTTGTTTCGTTCTTTGAGTGGTTAGATGGTTAGATACATGTTTAATTACCACTTAGATAATTTATAATAATATGATGTAAACATTAATATTTTCAAACTTGAAACCATGGATTTACTCAAATAATATTTTGATGCTCACAAAGCTGAATTCAGTTGTAGTTCATTTTCACTTTCTGTATTATAGGAATGTATGGGATGACTCTTTAGCTAAGTGGAGAGTGGTATCTAGGCTTGACAACCAGACTGAAATATTCCAACACGTGTGTAATTCTCTTGGCCCACATCCACCTCGAGACTACTGTGTTCTTAGGTCAGTATACCTACACAAGATGTTTCAGGAATGTTTACTTTTGTTTTTAATTTAGTAGTTAGATAAGTAACTCTGTCATTAAAGTGATTCTCATAATCCATGTAAAAAGGTAGATTTTAATTTGAAGTCCGTAAATAGATAAAAGACTGCTAAATTTTGAAATACATTGAAATGATTTTATTAACTATCTTGAATTATATTGCTCTTGTAACATGATTATTTTGCCTTTCTTTGGGTATTGACTTATTAACGTGGTTATAAAAGAAAAACATATTTTGTACATAGTTTTGTTTATGGACAAAAACAGTCATCACAAGTAAAAAAAAATAATCTATCTCCGCACTTCTGATGCTGTTCAGTTGTAGGAAGATAAGACAAACTTAAATGTTGTGATTGGACTTACATCATTCGAAAATGATTTAAGTAAAATATTGTGAATTTGAAAACAAAAATATTTTGAAAATTATTCAATTTTTATTTTTGTTTAGGTCCTGGAGAAGTGACTCTTCGAAGGGTTCGTATATGCTAGTTGAAACATCCATAGATCACCCAAATGTTCCCCCCTTACAAAACAGTGTGAGGGGAGTTGTGCTTGCTACGCATTTCTTGATTGAACCTTGTGGTGCAGGCAAATCTCGTTTAACTCATATTAATCGAGTAGACACTCGGTAAGTTTTATACATTTTAATAGAAAACTGTTTTTGTAATGTTACAAGCTATTGATAACGAAACAGAAAAATTGCAAAATTGAACTGATAAATAAAATGCAATGAAACATTAGGTTTTCAACAAATTTTTTCATGCTAATGACAGATGATTACTACAAATCTTGCTTTTGGCAGTGGTTTATAGTATGTTTATTCATTTGTTATGGTGTGAACGCCTTTTTCAAGCAGGCGAACTGAGATTATAATTAACTATACTTGTCATAAGTGGTTGGAATACTATTATACACTGGCTGGAGTACCGATCCCCTGGACGGAAGTTATGTAAATTCATGATTTATGAAAGGTTATCTTAGGACATGAAAAGTTGCTTCCTTTATATGTAATTATAAAAGACGCAAATACGCCCATAAATAGTTGCAAAACACAAAATGTGAAACCGCAAATTTCCATGTATTGCCGCATGGACCCAACAAACCTTCATGCCAAATATGGTCAAAATCCATCAGCAGGGGGCCAAGTAGTGGTAAAAACACCCATAAAAACTGCAAAATGCAAAACTGAAAATTTGTATGTACCCCTGCATGGACCTAATGAACTTCTATACCAATTTTGGTGAAGATCCATCCTCATTCTGCGAAGTAGTTACATTGACAGACAACAGACAGTACTATTATAGTTATATAGATACTTCTAATTCTTGATAATCCATAAGGGACTATATAAAGAATGTAGTGTTAAAAATATAATAGGTCTAATACTAATGTCTTATGATGAATAAACATAATTATATATGCTTATTTGATTACCCTTATGAGTTAAATGCTCTTAAGATTAGTTATCTGGTGATCAATAATTTTATATGATATGCAAATTACTGGTCATATAGTAATCTCATACAATTACGTTTTAATTGCCACCTTAAAATGAATTACAGAGTTCACAATTCTCCAAGCTATTCATGAATCATGCCTAAAACTCAGTGTTGGACATAAAAGACTGTTTAGTGTAGGTATTATTAATATATTTATATTATGAGTTAATATTTCATGATTGTTTAGTTTTTCATAACAAGAGAGTTAAAAGCAATTATTTTAATGGCAATAGTTATGACAAGTTTGGTTTCATAACTCGGTAAAATTCATAGGTTGTGTTTGCAATTCATTGGTGTCCAGGCTCTAAAAAAATCTAAGGGTCTCGGTGATAAACATATAAATAGCGACGACCAAACGAACGGGAGGGAGTAAAAGTAAAGTCTAGTGAACGAAAAGGTCAGTCAGAGAAATGTTAGAAAACGTGAAGTTAGCGATCGTGGGAGTGAATAACTTTAACTGTTGATACATTAAAGTGAGATTAATAGTTTGATAGAGATAAGGAAAATAATTTGTCTTCTCAAAGGGTGTTCTAAACTAATTGAACCAGTCTATGTGGACTTTGACGAAAAGAAGACAGTTATTGAAAGTTCAGGTTACAACTGTGGTAATCTTCGAGGCAGCATAAGTGAATTATTCACTGATACAATTATGATAAAAATAGAGAAAAATAGTTTGGCTTGTAAACTGGACTCTCAAGCAATTGAATTAGCCTAAGTGGATTTTTGACAAAACGAAGAGAACTATACAGTGTTTAAGATACACTATGATTTCTATAGTGTAAAGAAGTTTTGTACATATTTTTATCTTGTTTTGAATATGTTATTTTAAAACAAATGGAGTGCGTGCTGTCCATTTATTGTGCGAATGTATCGCCAACAAGTCACAGACACCTATTGTAGAAGAATACTTAGCCCATACATATATACATAAATCCTGACACTCAGATGATAGAATATTTTATTGATGTACATAGTCAATTGGCAAATGGAAGCCGAACAACCTCAGCAAGCTGTTGCATATTATGTCCAAGCGTCTCAAAGCGCTGTTAGCAGAATGTGGAACTACTTTTAAAACAATTTTACAGTTATTCAAGCACAAGCCACCTTCCAGGACAAAATCAGATTGTCGTTATCTATTGATCCTGGCTCGCTGCAATCGTAAGGTACTTCTGAGAGTAAATGAGACGTTTGCAGCCGAACTGGACAGTATGTCAGTGTACAGATTATTAGATACAGATTTCACAAGGCCAGCTTGTATACATATAGAGCTCGCTTGCAATGGTGCCAAGAACGTGTCTAGTCGACCAACAATATCTGGAGCATGCAATATGAGTTGAGCTTCACATAATATATTTATACTCGTTTTGAGAGAATCCGGAACTTGATCCACCCGTTTTCACACAAGAACATGACACATAGGGTGATGGTTGAAGAACGGAAACACATATGATGATGGTTGAAATACAAAGTTCACAGGAATAAACATTATTGAATATTCCAGCCTCTACATTCTGTACAGTGGTACTACTATTGCCACATATAATAGGAACTACATTCTACTACATTTTGTGCTACTATGTGCGTTTGTAAACGGCTCTGTGTTCTGCCTTATGGGTGATAACGCCCACACCATAGTGGAATGTTCTTGGGAGACGCACTACCGGAAGTGGCCTCCAAACATTAAAGATGCTTTGAAAATAATTATTTTAACTCGGGAATTATCAACACTCTGATTTTAAACATGTAATGTCGGTGTCAGGTTTCGTGGTGATCACACTTTATGTTGAAGTGAAATATCGTTAACTGGTTACTTACGAGTTTAGGCTGCGTGATCAAACATTTGCATGTTATGTCACATGACTGATTATTAGATACTTATTTTGTGTAAAAATTAGCTGAAGCGAGTGATCCCTTTTATAACTTTGCAATGTTACACAATGACCTGGCAAAACCAAATACTAATGAACCACAGCGAACATCGCAGATCGTGATCAATGATGTAATAGGGGGGGGGGGGTCTAGCCCTGGATCTTCTTCTTCACAATTTTTTTTGTCATTCAATCGTATTTCTCCTTTAAAATATTACATATAGTATAAAATTCAATGGAATGAATGTTGCATAAATTTTGATCATTTTCACAATATAAATAACTGAAATTATTATTCTTTCCCAGGGGAAGATCACCAGAGTGGTACAACAAATCATTTGGTCATATCTGTGCTCTTCAACTCATGAAATTACGGGAATCTTTCAAACGTGGAACTGAGGGACCTGAAACAAAAGTCTGATTCCGAATTGCTAATTCATTCCAAGTTTAACCTTTCTTTTCCCAAGTGGCAGTATATATTCGAAAAGACATCGACAGTATGTGTAATACCTAACTAGTCATGATTCTCCGTTTATATGTAAAGAAATGATATAGGTCAAGGATTGATCACACTGTATATGCTAAAAAAAAAGACAAAAAACGTCATATATTCACATTAAACTGTTCTAAAATGTTTAATTTTGTCAAAATAACAATATGCTTTGGTGAGATTTTTGAGTCCAAGTTGTATGTAAATTTTGTGATATGGTTATTCTATTATCTGGAATAAGGAACACTAATGGAGTCAGTCGTACATATCTATTCTCATGAACTTTGTACATATACTTCAGAAAAATAATATTCCATTGTAAAAGTTAGGTAAAGAGGTTTATAAAGTCAGAGATTACATTTTCTTAGTTTTGAATTTTGTTTTTGATAACAAAGCTTAATTTTAGCTGCAATCATTCATTTGGACTAGTTTGTTATTTTTTATTAAGCTTTATTTGATTGGCTTTATTTTAGTATAAAAGATAGAATGTTTTTGGAGGTGGTATATATAGTGTTATTAGTGCTATATAGAACACTTACATACATTGCAATACTATATTAAATATTTGGTTACTTAGTGCTGCACATCGAAATATGAAATGTTGATGAAGTTGGTTTGACTGTGTGTAAGACATGCACACTTATTACTCATCAGTAAACCCATAATTGGTCACTAGGATACTTTTTCTTTTCTTAGTTTTCTTTCAAGAAATATTGCTCTCCAGTAGCTTTGTGCAAAGATCAACAAGCTCTTTGAATAGTATGTAATTTAAAAACACAATAGATATACATTTTTATTTATATTGTCGGAACAGTTTTATAATATTTATGTTTGTAATCAAAATGCTTCATAGGCAAATATTTCAATAGTCGACATTACACTGTTACATATGTCAACAAAGATGTACTGACAACATACATGTAGAAAATTTCGACTTCTTGGTAAACATTCTAAGCAGACCCCCCTCATATAAACTTATTAATATCTAACGAATATTCATATTTAAACTGCTGTACTATTTCTAACAGGGGATTTTACAAAACATACTATTATCACGAAAAGTATTTTGTACTTTTAATCTTTTGTAAGACTCGGTGATTTTTTTTTACGATTCCAGAATATATGTATTTGAAATATATTTTAATTTTGTTTGCTGGTATTCTGATTAATCGAATTTATCCTTATCTTGAAATTGCCTGAGACATTTGAAACAAATTGTTGATTGTCTTCTCAAACTTTATTGATTTGTATTCTCAATAAAATTTCATTATTAGGAGATTCAAAGTGGCTCAGTTGGAAGCTTGATGGGTTAAAAACTAAAAATACATGTTAGATACACTTGGTGAACACAGTACAGATAACTGATCGTGTAGCTTTGCGCTTAAAAACACAAAACCAGACATTATTACCGAGAAACTTGGCGACATTAACACCTCTTAGCTACTGCACACAAAACGTTGTACATTCATCTCAAAAAGACAAGCACGAGCTCTTCAGAGAACAACAACAACGTCAACCTTCACCAAATAAACTATGTACTTTTTAAACAAGCCAAGTTTACGTAGTGAGCTAATACAAACATCTGTCCAAAGAAAGTGACTCATAACTTTGTATAGTTTAATAATGTGTTCAGTTCTATCGATTAAGAAAAATACAATCATTGAATTAGATCACTTTTGATCTTTGCTATCGTAGTTAGATAAGTGTTGCGATTTTTTATTTTATTTTGTGGATTTGTTCTTTCCAAAATAGTTCTAGCTACAACAGTCCAACATAAAATGATGTTCTAAGTTATGTGTACACAGAAGCAAAACTACTTATATGTTATAACAATAACTCCAGTTTGGTAACAATAAGAATCGAAACTGAAAAGGTGACTTTTCAGCTTAACACTGCTACACAAGAACCTGGAAGTTTGGTTTGGTTTATTACGAATTTCGCGCAAAGCTACACGAGGGTTATCTGCGCTAGCCGTCCCTAATTTAGCAGTATAAGACTAGAGGGAAGGCAGCTAGTCACCGCCACCCACCGCCAACTCTTGGGCTACTCTTTTACCAACGAATAGTGAGATTGACCTCTCATTATAACGCCCCCACGGCTGAAAGGACGAGTATGTTTGGTGTGACGGGAATGAGCCTGGAAGTTAGTACTGATAATGTTACGTGGTGTGTTACACAGAACTACCTTCTTTGAGATTAACTTGAATAAGGATTTACTTACTTCAACTTGTTCTATTTTGTCACTGGTGGCGATGCAGGATCTTCCAAACTTAATATTAAGAGAGACTACTTTTGGAATAAACTTGTTCACACGAAAATGTCACGCACGTAAAACAAGTCTATTAACATAATCATGCACATAAGAAAGCAGAGTGTTAATATTATTATTGGATCGTGAACTAAATTTGTCATAATTTTTTCTGTAATAGGTATTTGGGACTCTTTTAAAAAATGTATTGAAAGAACAGGTTTACAAAAGTGAATTTTAATTTCATAAGAAATATGACACATTTACAGCATCAAATGTATTTCTATTGAACACACACACACACATATATATATATATATGCGTTTTTCTGTACACTTCTATTTCTATTGTACTGGCTGAATTGTGTTATCTTGAAATAAAAGAACCTGAATCCGTAGTGCTAACTTCCACCATAAAATAAGTGTCGTTTTTTTCATAGAATGAATTAGTTTTGAGACTTTATTTTATCAATAATATATATATATCGTTTGTGGGACCAGAAACTTAAGTTAAACGTAATTAGTAAAATTACTTCTCACTAACTTCATTTCACCAATGTTATTTCAGTCATTAACTTGGTCGTCTTCACGTAGATTAGTTTTACTCTGAGTAAAGTGAAATAAAATAAGACAGGTAGTTGAGCAGCCTTGTGAAACAGAAAGGTCTATTTTGGCAACTATAAACCTTTATAAGTGATATCGGTATTTTTATGATATCTATAGAGAAAGTTCACTATTCTTTATCGAACACTTAGGAGAGAGAATTTGTAATGTTTTTACAAAATCAATAATTAAAATTTACTGGGAATTAATAGTGTGAATTTCATTCGTCTTGTGACCCAGTAGCGATGAACAAGAATGATAGTCAGTTTTAATGTATATTTTATATGCACTTTGTTTGGTTTCAATGGTAAAATAACGCTATCTAGTTGTAAGAATCTCTCCCTTACTTGTGTTAACGTTCATCATAAAATGGGAAAATGTAACTTAACTTTATTTCTTAAAACCGTTATGAGTATAGATGTAACAATAATAAGGTCTTGTTTGAATAAATTGTATCTAATACTTGATTTGTTTTTTGTTGTATTATCTGTAATTATGATAAATTTGACGTGTCTTACAATGTACGTGCAATACAAAGAACAAATGTGAGTGAATATACATGTAGGTAAAGGCATAGTAATGGACACCATTAATGTTCGAAAATTTGGTTTCACGTAACAGTGGCAGGTGCAGTGTTCATATGATAAATATTACGAAAATGCTTTCATCCTGGAGTGTGTTGTGTAGGTGTTGAGTGCAGAGCTTTAGAATGGTAGATAGATAGGATATAATTGTAACTTAATGCTCCTGATATTCAATTTGTATAAATTGTCACTATTTATACAGTGGATTGAATTACTGTAGGTTCTGGTGTGTTTTTGAGATACCACAGTACTATCAGTACCATTTTCACTTCAGAATGCTTTACGAACGCTTTCTATAATTATGTACCTACCGCATTTAAATCTTTTGATGTAATTTAAATTGTTACTCGCATTCGGGAAAGGACAGCAAATAATTGGTTTCAACGAAAATATCAAATATACTTTAAGCAAGAAGAATGTACTTCGAACAGTAGAATATTCTGGGTAATACCTACAGGTTATTTAGTAGAATCGAAAGATGTGAGTGCTGAATGAAAATATCAGTATGATTTTGTAACTCTAAGAGGCTATGGTTGTGGTATTTATGGCCATCTTTGTTGTTGAAACTAAGTAAAGAGAGTTATAAGGGTTAGATACGATATTTTCAACGTGAAAGCGCAAAACTTATGCTTAATCGATAAAAGTATCCCATTTGATTTTGCATAAATGGAAAAAAAGAGTACCGGATCAAATCTTCAACATATAAACATGTACAACGTGCTTTTATAAAATTATTAACAAGATAGAAAAGTGAAATTAAGTAAATACTGCCTCGCAAAAGTACAAAAACTATTGAAATGTGAGTAAAAAGTGCTATTTGCAAATTACTTATACATATTCACGAAGGAATTAAATCTAGTTACTCACGAGATCATAGATATTTAAATCAATTTTTTTGCGAGTTATATATTTAATGAAAAAATATTAATTAAGAAAAAAACACTCTTTATTATTATTAATTGAAAACAAATAAGTAAAAACATATATATACATAAAAGCATAAATGCCCGTTTCGTATCTTCAAGGATACTCTCGACCATACACAATTACCTTTCATGAATTGCAACTAAATCTAGAGTTTTAAAAATTATGTTTGTATTATATAAAGGTTATTTTTGGGTATAATTAATATTAATTTAAACTCAAGAATAATTGGTGATTGTAAAAGGAATATTATGTTTTTCTTTTGTAGTATCTTTTATCATTTATATTTAATTTCCTTTCTAAGTTTAACCAAATTAAAACATCTATCTGTTATATTTTTTGGATAACTAAACTTCCGTAGGTAAGATTTTAATTCTATCGATGTTTGTTGCTTAATGTCCGGATTGGAATCAACTGCAAAAAATTATTTGAGCTAGACAAAGTGGGATATTAAATTTACTATGAACAGGGTGATTGCTATAAAAATCTGAAGAGTGGTGTGATTTAGTAAGTATGCGCTATAAATCCGTTTCAGTCTTACCACCTTTGATTTTTAGAAACCTAAGTTACTCATTTCAAAAGTATGCTTTATAAAAGATTAATTTAATTTGAATTTTCAAAGAAAAATATTTTTAAAAATCAAAGGGTTTGTTCCAAAAACAATCACCTAATATCTTTTCCAGTTTTTAACGAGTAAATATAACTACTTTAAAAATACTTTAATAAATTATTGAACATTTCAATTTAAAAATATTCTCTCTTTAAAGTGACATAAGCTGGTGTCACTTTTGTTTGTTATGAATTTCGCGCAAAGCTGCACAAGAGCTTTCTGCGCTAGCCGTCCCTAATTTAGTCGTGTAAGACTAGAGGGAAGGCAGCTAGTTATCACCACCCACCGCCAACTCTTGGGCTACTCTTTTTATCAACGAATAGTGGGATTGATCATAACATCATAACGCCCCCACAGCTGAAAGGGCGAGCATGTTTGGTGTGATGAGGATTCGAACCCACGACTCGAGTGCCCTAACCACCTGGCCGGATCGTGGTTTGTCATTCACTGACCCAGTTTCTTTAAACTTTTTCATCCAATTGTTAATTGAGTTACGGTGTGGTAATGAGTTCTAGATTTTCTCCTCACTGCGGTTATTGACTTTAGTTCATCTAACCATATCAAACAGCTAACCTTTTCTTCTATCGTCACTGTATTCGTTAGTTAGAGATCTGACAAAAATATTACATTGTAGTGAAGCATAATGGGTTATGCTTTTATTAGGTCGTCAAGAACTTAATGTCGCTTTTTTAGATGAAAAAACCCGAACAACTTATATATCAAAAAAAAACATTTATTAAATGAAATAGTCTCCATTCTTATCGATGATGCTTTTCCATCTTACAATCAGGTTGTTAACGCCCTGGTTAAAGAAATCACTTGGCTCTGAAGCAAAAGACACGTCGATGTCCTTTTTAATGCCTTCCACACTTGCATACGTTTTCCCATTAAGATGGTGTTGCAGCAAACGAAAAAGATGGCAGTCTGATGGTGCTATATCTGGAGATGTGGTGGGTGGGGGAGAACTTCCCAACACCATAATCTTGTGTTGCGTCAAACGTGCCCTATTTGGACGTGCATTGACGTGGAGAAGAAGAACACCTTTCCGATTGACAAGTGAAGGGCGTTTCTGATGAAGGGCTTGATTTAAACGTTCCAGTTGCTCACTGTAGATCTCTGCATTGACAGTTCGCTGTGGATTGAGGAGTTCGAAATGAATTACTCCTTTGATGTCCCACCAAATGTAAAGCATCACTTTCTGCGGATGGAGTTTGAAGTGTTTTTGTCTAGGACTGAACCATTGTTTTGGGGGTTTAATATTCGCATAGAGAATCCATTTTTCATCACCGCTGACAATTCTGTCCAAAAATGGTTCACGCGCCAGAAGAGACGAAGAAACATTCACGAGTTGTAAACGATGATCAATGGAGAGTCCGTGAGGCACCCAAACGCCTTTTTAAAGGTGTTTTCCCATATTCTTTAGATGTTTACGTATTGTTTCACGAGAGACATGCAATTTCAGGGCCATTTCACAAGTGTGTGTTGCCTTGGGTTAGACTCAAGAAGCGTCTTCAGAGCATCAATATCAATTCCAAAATATCGGCCCCTGCCATCACAGTTTTAAAGGCTAAAGTCACCTGAACGAAATTTGCTGAACCATCGTTGACACTTACGAACG